CCAGGAGAAGGGAGACAGAAGCATGATTAGAGAGTGTAATGTTCCCTATGGCCGTGTCGCGAACTCTCGAAATTTGGCTGTGGTGTATTAGGAGTAGGTCAATGCGAGTATAACTTTGATGGAGGGAGGAGAAAAAGGTAAAAGGGGGTGTTGTACGCGCCAGATGTCTAAGAGTTGGTGTGCGAACAGGCATCGCTTGAGGCATCTAAGGGTGGCATAGGAGAGGTGTGAGGAGGATCTCGAGGAGTCTAGGGCCGGGTCTAAGATGAGGTTAAAGTCCCCCCCCCACAATCAACATGCCCTCCCGGAACTCTGACAGGCGTGTCAGGACACGCTCTATAAATGTGATTTGGTGCTGGTTCGGTACATATATGTTTGTAAACGTCATGACCTGAGTCCCCACGGTCCCTTTTAGGAACAAGATGCTGCCTTCCTCCCCTGAATGTTGATCTAGGAGCGCCCAAGGCACAGTGCTTGAGATGAGGGTGCTGACTCCCTTGAATCTCTTGTCAGGAGATCCACTGTGGTAGGCTACGGGGTACCTTCTAGTTTCCACGCGAGGGATATGGTCCACCTGGAAGTGGGTCTCCTGTAGGAATACAACCTCGGCTCCCTGGCGGCGTAAATCTGTCAGGATCATCCTCCTTTTTTCAGGGGTGTTCAACCCTTTCGCATTAAGGGAGAGAATCTTGAGAGTGGCCATGATTGGGAAGAGGAGATAAGGACAGGGGGATGAGGGTGGTCTATTAGCGGTAGCGGGGAGGAGAAGAGGCGTGGGAGGGACGGGTAGCCGGGAGGATGGGGGAAAGAGTGGTAGTGAAAAAAGGGGGGTAGGGTATAGTGACCTATCAATGGGTGAAGGGTAGTTAAGGAGTGGTTGGGGTCTATATGGGGCTGGTCAGCCAGCCAAACAGGCCGTCGCCGTCTCCGATAATATTCAGAGATCGGGGTCGGTCTGTAACCTATTGGGGGAAATAGGTAGACTAGGGCCGTGTGCAGGTGAGCAATAAAATCAATTAACCTCAAAAGGATATAACAACTATTTCAACAATGAGCTGCTACCCACCGCAGCATCAGGGTATATACGATAGAAAAAACAACAATGGTAAATAAAATAAAAAGAGAGAGATAACAATAGAGGGAACAACAAGGTGTAATCACCTCCACTTCAAAACAGGCAGTACTCATATAATGGTGTGACCTGATCACACGTGGACACGAGTGGGGTTGAGAAGGGGGGCTGGCGGGAGGGGGGGGGGGGGGGAGGGCATTAGGTTTAGGGGCCCTTAGGATGGGGAGAGAAGGAATGAGGTAGGCCCGGGATAGTCAGAATGGGAAGGAAAGAACTAGATGATGCTGGATCTCTCCCATCCATGGAATGAGGTGGGCTCTATCTGACCTGCTGCAGCTTCTAATGCACAGTGTGAGAATCTCGCAGTGTGCAGTGACAGTGAAATCAGAGGAAGCAATTTCTGTCCAGGAGAGGAGCCGGTACAACTGCAAGACTGAAGGGAAGGCCGGCGTTTTTGTGCATTATTTTCATAACAAATAAAGTTTGTTTGTTGAAAGATGTTTAACGCCACAAATGCAACGGTCTATAATGGTGTGACCTGATCACACGTGGACACGAGTGGGGTTGAGAAGGGGGGCTGGCGGGAGGTGGGGAGCGCATTAGGCTTAGTGGCCCTTCAATGCTGCACTAGAACTAAGGAGCATACATCATGTGACCTCGGCGCGGTCTCACGGCCCCCGACACAGGCAGAGGCCAGCGCTGCCGCGCCCGCGTCAGACAAAGGCCCAACACAGCCACACAAAAGAAGGATTGAGCCAGGTCCAACGAGGGCAGGGGAGGTGGTGTGAGGGGGGGAGACGCCGCCTGCAGTTATAGGCAAGTCAATAGCTGAGGGATGAAACCGCCAATGGAAGTGTCCCCATGTCAGGATCCTGACGTTGGCCATACTGGCTATCCCTATATGTGCCGTTGGGGGGCGCAATGTGGAGAATATGAAGGTGCTGCGGTTCATGCTCCTGCATATTAAATATCTCTACGGGATAAAGATCGAGGTCCGAGGCTGGGAGAACTTCGACATTAAGGAGCCGTATGTGGTTGTGTCAAATCACCAGAGTTCCCTGGATCTGCTGGGAATGATGGAGATCTTGCCAGGTCGCTGTGTGCCCATCGCCAAACGTGAGCTCATGTATGCTGGCACCGCCAGTCTGGCATGCTGGTTGGCTGGAGTCATTTTCATCAACCGTAAAAAGACGGACGATGCCATCAGCGTGATGACGGAAGCGGAGGAGACCATGCTGAAGGAGGACGTACGTGTGTGGGTATTCCCAGAGGGCACCAGAAATCACAATGGCTCTCTCCTGCCATTCAAACGAGGAGCCTTTTACCTGGCTGTGCAAGCTCAGGTCCCGGTTATTCCCATCATCATGTCTTCCTATAAGGATTTCTACAGTAATAAAGACAAAAGGTTTTCAACAGGGAAGTGTGCAGTGCAGATCCTCCCGGGCGTGTCCACCAAAGGCCTGTGTGCCGACGACGTTCCTGAACTTGCCGACAAAGTCCGAGGGATGATGCTTGAGACTTTTACCGAAATCTCAAATGAGCGCACAGGAAAAGAACCTGGCGGTGGATATTGATCCCCCTTCTACCATTTTATTGTCATCGTTGGCCAGGGAACACCCCCCATACAGGAGACGCCAGGAGGAAGGACCCGTCTAGAGGAAGAGGGGAGAGAGCAAAAACCATTTCAAAACAAATCCTGCAATAATAAAAACAAAAACATTTGCTGCCTCAAACAGATGAATTCGGTCAACGAAGGAGAACACAAGAGGAACTTCACTGCTACCACTATAGGAAGAGCAGCACGGAGCTGGATCATCCCTACTATTGCCATCATGCAAAGAAAGCATAGGCAATGCCATTCCGCAACAAGGCCTGTGCAAATGTAGGCTCGAAAAACAAATTCCATTTTGGTTACATGTTACAGAACGATGTAAAAGACAGCGGATAGAATGATAGGTCAACACTTCACATAGAGGGCACGGAGTCAGGAATGTCAATGGGCAAAGTTTAAAGCGGACCTTACATTTCATTAAATAACAAATGACTGTACATATATTCAATTTCAGCTTTATATAACTATATAGCGGACATTACTTCATTTATATTCCTGGCACGTTCCTGTGTCATAGAGCATTCTGGAGGAACCATCTTTGTGTAACCTCGATCAACACCTAGAGAGCTTAGTTTCTGACTCCCCCTGTGGGACGGACGTACACGGTGATCTCTGCAGCTCGGCTGTGGAGAAGGCAGATTGCAGAGATCACATGACCAGGACACCAGGAACCCTGGCTGTTGGCATAGAACCCCAATGCCAGTGGTTGGGGAGGGGGGCGCATTATTTGCACTTTAGATACTTAACATTTCACCTACATTACACAGCCTGGGGCAATGTATATTATAACGTTAGAATGTTAATTTTTGTTATGCAAGGTTCGCTTTAAATGGGCTGATGAAGGCCGCAAAAAATGTAAAAGAATGTTCTAGCAGTCGGGTAGGCTGCAGACAAAATAAGGCAATCCTTGAAATATCCTCATCCTGAAGACTGAAGAATGTTCAGGGTCATTGAAAAGAAGCATGCGTTTACCCAGATGTGATCTGACCAATGGCGTACCGGAACTCCACCATGTCTGGCTGGGAGTTGAGATGGCAAAGGAAAGCTGTTCAGTTAACATTCCATTTCTTGGAAGGAGATTGGGGGGGGTTCTTCAGTACAATGGAGTCGGTCTCTTTATTTATGAGGGGGTGCGTTAAATCTGTATATTTATTTATTTATAGGATGCAAGTACTTGTCTCTCCAGCTCTTTTCTTGGCGGCTTTTCACAGTCTATATTCCTCCTCCGCCGACGGCCTTCTCTCTCTCTTTCCTTTCTCTTTCGGTTTCAAGCAACTGTTGCAAGGAATCGGAAAGGTCAGTTACTTAGGGTACGAAAACCCGGCATTGCCCTAACTAACTGCCCTGTATGGCCTTCCAGAAAACAACATGGACTTGACGTGGGGGGGTGCAAGAACCATGGAACTGCTCTGCCCAACTTGTGGCCTCTTCCCCAGGAAGCCTTCCCATCTCCTCCAAGCTCTCGTCACTCCACAACCACCGACCTGCAGCTTTTTTTGCCTCTTCCCAGTTTCTTGTTTTTGTGTCCTGAGATTTTCCACGTTTTTTATTTTCTTTTGTTACACTCCAGCCACCTCGAGCCCTTCTTTGTGTCCATATTTGCCTCCCCCCTTTCTACGCCTTTCTTGTGTACTAGTGTGAGGCGTGGAAGAACTACATGTGCCAATGTGTTCGTAACTGTGGATTCGGGGGAAGAGGATGTTATGTGGGTATGACGTGGGTTGGGATGTTACATTGGCGGGAGGGGGCATAATAATCTCCTGTCCTGTAAATGTGAAGTAGCATTGCACAAATTTTTCTGGTTAAAAAAACCCCCCAAAAAACAGGCAGTACTGAGGTTGCGTGCTAACGCGGAGGGGGTAGGTGAAAGGCCCCTTCTGGTGCCAAACACCTCTCCCATCCCACGCGAGAGGCATCAGGTCGCTGTAAGAGCGAACAATGAGAATATGGGTAGTCCAGTAAACATACATCACCCATAAGTTGGAAATGAAGTAGTGAAGTGAGTCATGGTGAGGAGACATCAGGTAGTTGACGAAATCCCATGTCGTAACCGGAGGATGCGATAGAAGTGGCCAGGTGGCGTAGTCCGTTGTCAGGAATATGGTGAAGGTCATCACCTCAGGATCCTCACAGTTCCCTGGAAGTGGGGTCCCATCTGTCTGTTTGGGTCGGCAGGTCTTCCATTGGTGGTGCCCGGGAGGGACGCCGCTGACCAAGGTCTGCAGAGGCTCGGCGCCAGACACGTTGGGTCAGAGGGCGGGTCACATCAGATATATATTGGGTCGGAGCCAGTCAGGGATCTCCACGGGGGTGTCCTCCAGGAATGAAAACAAGGCCGGTAGCTGATCCTGGTGACGCAGTGCGAACGCCCCCTGCTTGCGAATGGTGAGGCAGAAGGGGTATGCCCAGGAGTAGAGTGCCCCTGCTCTTGGTATTTCAGCCAGTAGGGGTTGGAGCAGCTGGTGCATTTGCAGAGTGCGCCTGGACAGATCAGGTAGGAGAGTGATGTCTGCTTCCTCGTAGGAGATCGGGCCCTTGCGCCAGGCTTGCTGGAGTATGGCCTCCCGCACTGTATAATAATGGACCCGGCAAAGAACATCCCGGTGGCGAATGTCTCTGTCTGGGCCCAGTCCGCCAATCCGGTGTACCCGGTCAAGTTCCAGGGGGAGTTGGGTGGCTTGTCCAGCGCGATGTTGAGAATCTGGGATACCGCCTCCCTAAGACCCACAGGTGTCTTAGGGAGTGTCATGGTGGTGAGCCTGGTTTCTTGCCGCAACTCTGTTTTCCAGCTCCAGCACCCGTTGGGAGGTGGCACCCTGGTCTGCATGGAGGGAGGTGACCCGGTCTTCTAGTCGGGAGACCGTTAATGTTATACCCGCTATGTCCCATCTGAGGGCTGTCTCCATGTTGGAGACCATCTCTGCTATATCCCGTTTGGTCGGGAGGGAGAGCAAGATGGCCGACATCTCACCTGCGGATAGAGGTTCCCTGTCACGCGATGGTTGTGTTTGAGGCGCGGACACCGGAGGCAGCTGTCGGTCCATGTCAGGGATAAGGAAGTCTCCGACGGGTCCCGGGTCGCGGACGTCACCGTAGGCCGCAGTGGTTCAGGAGGCGCCATGCAGTGGGCTGTGGAGGATCATGTAGAGACAGCTGGCAATGAAAAGAAAGGGTGAAGGTCCCCATAGGTCGTCCCGGTATCGTCTCTAGGTAGTTTACTCTTTTTGGACATCGGTGAAGGTAGGCTGAGATACGTGATCAGCTGCGAGATGTTCGGTGGGCAGCGGACCTCAGAGAATCTGCGACCTCACACTGCCATAATTAGGCCACGCCCCCTAAATTATGTTTTTAAATATGCCTGGAGTTCAGCTTTCTGAAGCCTTGTGTTCTGCTAGCAATCTCTATTTAACGCCCTTATCACTTTATCCAGACTTAAATGGCATGCATGACTGGACCTTTCTCTGTTATGTCCAACATTCACCATACTTGACATTCTTTACTTTCACTTTACTTTAGTTCTTGTAACCGGAAGTGTCATCTTCAATAGTCTACATTGAGTATGGATTTCAAATTCCTGTAATACTTTATATAATACTTCTCTTACTATTACAGGCTTGTTTGTAACCAATAAAGAGATAGTGTAGGTTGATATTTACATTTTCCTCAGCCAGCTGTCGGTCTTCATATGGAAGTGATTTGATGACTTCTTTCCCCGCCTGACCCCCCTTGCCACTTCTCTTGCGCTCTGCTGCCTGGGATGTCCATGCTGGTGTCCACAAGGAAAGCAGAGGATGGTCAGTGAGCATCCTTTCACTAATCGTTCCTGCAGTGGATGAAGTTTTTCACTACTTTGGGTTTGAGCTGCTACCCCAGCTGCTGAGGCCAGGGATGAATCTAATCAAGTGCTGCGTGTCATTTATGCTTGTCTAGCTTCAGTGGAATGCAGCTGTGATATTAGGGGTCTAACAGGCTCCTTATGTCTCCTTAAAGGGGACTTTCCAGTTCGAATGTCACTTGTCATAAATAACCCCCCCCAATAAAACCAATAAATAAATAAATGTTAATGGCACTCCCCTTAAGTACATGCACATCCAAATATAAACAGCGCAATGAGTGTACCTATGTATGAAAAAAAAGATATCGCCACACGTGTTTTGTATCAGGGTGTACGCCAGAGCAAAAACATTAATTCTAGTGCTACTATTTATGGTTTACAATAAATTGATGACCTGTAAAGGCTTTTAAAAGCACTGCCTATGGACAAATTTTGGGTGCCGTAATTTTTTTTAGCTGTTTCACGGGTGTGCAATTTTAAGACTCAAGTTTGGTATCTGTTTACTTGGATCAATCCGAATTAATATGCATTGAAACCACAAACAAACACAATTATATGCTGGACTTTAATGGCACCACACCATTTTGTTATTCAAATCACTGTATTAAAAGAAAGACATCTAAAAAGATATTCTCTCATAAGATAAAGCCAAGATAAATAACATCACCAGTTTTAATCTGTCAGTTTTAACTGGGCCATCAATTATCAGATCCTTATTGTCAAAATCAAATTATTTGTTATTTTACGTACTGCTTATGTCTATCGTCATTGACTGTATGCTGGTATTCCCAGAAACAGGGATATAGCTTGACACATTTCATAGAATATTTTGATTCTGCTTTTTCAGCAGACTCTCAGGGTTTTCATTTTTTCATCTCCATATATTGTAAACAATAGAAAAAAGAGATGCAGTGGGGCTTCTTGTGGTGTTCATGTACGGATGGTACAGGATACACTTGAACGCAAACTAGACAACTTCCATAGTAAGGTCATTTACACCAATTTTTCTTAAAATACAATATTTATTAAAATTACATGATTTGATAAATATACATAAGATCAAAATAGAAAAGAGATATCAGAAAGAATCCTAAACGCCCCCCTGGATCACATATGCACATTTTTTTTTCTTAAAATACAATATTTATTAAAATTGCATGGTTTGATAAATATACATAAGATCAAAATAGAAAAGAGATATCAGAAAGAATCCTAAACGCCCCCCTGGATCACATATGCACATTAAATCCATATCTATAAAAAATTCCTAGGCTTTATCACTATCCATATTTCATTTTGCAATAATATTCCACTTTGCTTCAGGCTTATTGTAAGTGCTACGGACCCAGTCTTCGACGCGTTTCACCAAGCGGCTTCCTCAGGAAGTTTTGAGAGATCGTTTATGACATTTCTCAATCGTTCCGGCATATGGTGGTATCAGTCCACTGATCCGGAGATAGATCCTCGCACCCCTAGGGAGCAGAGAGAGGGGTGGGGCACACATAAGTGGCCGAAATGGAGGGGACTTGAATGAGCCTCAGTATATACCATTGTGGCCAGGGACTGGACTGAGGTACA